GAAACACGTTCCTGACAAGCATTAGGAGCTCAAGTATTTGTCGTCATAAGAAGTTCAACGTAGCGAAGACCTCAGAGTGACATGTCCTGCCAGAGTTTCGGATCACGTTCTGTCAGGGTCCTACAATTTGGTTATTTATCAATATTTGGTTGACTAAGTTCCTGAATATTTTGCAGCTCCAACCACAGATCTATTTTATATCTTGAATATAACTCAAGTCAAACTCTTTAGCTTCTTGGCACTAAATCTTTCTCAACACATCCGTCCGAATATCCATGAATTTTTCACTTTGTAAAGTAAGAATACAAGCCATTTCAACTTCGCACAAGGATGTGTTTTAAAAACTTTTTGAAGATCAAGATTATTTATATTTTCTTAAGAAATAATTCTGATTTCTTATGTGATTTTATTTAGCATTTGCAATACGGTACAGCATTCCGGATTTAAGTTATTTTCAAGTTCGTATTATTTTGATGCTTTATATTGAACTGTTGAGGTCAAAATTTGAGATATTTTTCTTAAAACTTGCAGTATCTTGATGCCAAGCTATGATTCATGGCCTTTTTATATTATATATTTGTTGTTATGAAAGCAATGCCTGCGCAAGCTTTAAAACGTTGCATGCAAACAGTGGCAGATGAATCCACTTGAATAAGACGGACGACAGTCCTGAGTAAGATGGATAATAAACGGCCAGGGATAAACGACTGAGGCAGATGGATGGCATTTCGATACGCTGTTTCTTTGCTCTGTTTATACTAATTTGCATGTCATGAGAGATTTGGCGATGCTGATATCAAGCAATCACCAAGTTGTTTCAAACCCATGCAGTGATTGATGGTTATTTTGTTGTAGTTGATTCAAGTGAATTATGTGGTAATTCAATTATTCAATGTTCTTTTAAATATGAAATTTCCACGAAGAGTAATGAAAAATGTATCGTGTGTCTTATAGCTTAATTGTGAATGTCGATCATGTCTGGAGAATTTTTGAAACCATAACGTGAATTTCAAAGATAAATTCTTGCAAGTTTTACCTCAAGTCGTTGGTGTGCGATTGCATATAGAAACCTGGGAATTAAAAATTTTAAAATGTAAGAAGCATTATTGGAAACATCCTGCGATTACTTTAAATAACTCCTAATCAGGCTTCTAGAGACAAGTTCATTCATTATTTAGAATTTTAAAAAATTTCCAACTATTTATAGATTTAATTATTTTTTTTATATTTTTTCCAGTCAATACGCTTATTATAGAATGCGACATAATATTCGAATCCAATATATTATTGTGTAATGTTAATATTTTCTTGTTCTGCAGTTAAAGATATCATTCTTATTTGAATTAACCTAAAATAAAGCAACTAATTGTAGCCCCCGTCGTTGCAATGCGGCCACTGCAAGACAGCGGAGCTGGGCAACCTTTCATAATATATAGACACTCGTGCTGAGGAGGCAGCGACAGAGCCTGTTAACGACAGTTCCTGAAGCATCTATTGGAAATTTATACGTTTATTGCTCGGCAAACTCAATGGAGTGATCACAAATCAATGCACTGAACTCCAGCAACTACGAAACTGATGCACCTGTCACATAAATCTACGTGTTCAGGTTGCCAAATTTCGAATAGAGTTATTGGTAGGCGATATATTTCCCGACTTCTGAACGGATATTTTCTTCCTTTCTGACTATACAATTCGACTGCTCTCAATTGATAACGATTGGCGCCAGCAGCCAAAATTCAACGACAGCCGGTGTCAAAAACCAGTGTTTCGGTTTTACTATACCAGTTTTTCCGGCTTTTATAATTTTAAAGTTAGTTATTGTTACTCTAACTTTCCACTTCCCTGCGTACTCACAGCACTCACTTTCACTTGTCCTGACAAAGGCGGTACTGATGTAAGACGCACTAGTCTTCATTCTGGGTTTTTAAGAATCAGTGGCACCACGGTGACGGATTTCTTGAGAACCTTTAAAACTTATATTTTCCTAGCGATTGTAAAATACTGCGGTTCCGTGAGAAGCAAGTTGATGGAAGGCCTGTAATGTGACAGTGTTATGCTTGCATCGCCAAGAGTAAATTTGTGCCAAGTGATCATCGAATATTTCCAGTCTTGTTCTCAAGGTCCAGTGATTCGGAAATTTGAGTGCGAAAATATCTTAAATTCTACTCTACATCTTGAGAAATGAGTGGGTACTTGTCCTAACAACGATGCACTTTTTGGCATTGTGCGAGCCATTCTGACACAGTTTGACCCGGCATAAGACCAAATCAGTGATACGTGCAGAAATACTGCGAACAATTAATATGCATATTCACTTTTCTGAGTATATAAAAAAGAAATAGAGATTTTTTCAAGGGCCGTCATTTGAGAATTTGCTTGAGTGCAAAAATAATTTGATTTCTATCTTTTCAAAAAGGAATTGAGATGAAGCAAAGTTCACTTGCTGAATTCCCACGCTTGCTTCTCACGATAGTGCTGAACTCTCACGCAGCGCACGCACCACACTCACGCAGCCGTGTGAACCTCCGTGTTGGTTGCAGCAATGCAGTTGAAGAGCCAGCATCTGCTTGATCCCCGTATAATATTTTTATTGTAAAGTCAAATCTGATGAATAAGTCAAATTTACGACAATATCGTTCTTCGCATCCTCTTGGCCGAAGTCGATACTAAAAATAGATACTTAATGATGTCGATAGATAATTAAATGAAATACATTTTCGTCTGATATTCATATTCATCAAATTATCTCCAGTATGTACAATTAATAAAATTTATTAGTTAGATTACGTTCGAAATTAGAATAAACTCTTGAGAACTTTTATTAAATCGAAAAAACTTAAACTCTTCCTCCGGTTCGTTATTGCGCAGGTGCAATGCTGTTGCGTGTTGGATGCAAATGAAGCCCCAGCGATGGCAGAAATTAAAGCGTTCGGGATGCCTTGGATCGAGGTCTCGTCCTATATTCTTCCCACAGGACTAAACTTTCACTTTAAGATGAAGATCCAGCACTGCTGTCAATAGTGCCGTGTACCTTTAATTTAGAAAATACAAGCTAATTACTATATAAGGATTGAAGTTTGCCCTGTCCTCCTCAGCAACCGTAATTATATTTAGTAATTACGCTTTTTTTATTAATTACTACTTCAGCGCACAAACCCTGAATAAGGTCAGTTATGCAAAGCTTGGCATTAAATACTTTGAAATACTTCTCAGTGAATATGTATATTGCTTGTAAGCCTGACTTGAAATGGTTATTTTCTGACGATACGGTGGGCCCTACCATAGTAGGACACGTTACATCAATTATATACAAAGGGTACCGTACCCATGACAGGACACACTACATCAATTATGCACAAAGAGTACCATAGTAGGATACGTTACATCAATTATAACTGCTGTCAATAGTGCCGTGTACCTTTAATTTAGAAAATACAAGAAATTAAAAAGAAAAAATACAAGAAATTAAAAAGAAAATAAAAGAAAAATACAAGAATTTTAGAAAATACAAGTTTTCCCTGTCCTCCTCAGCAACCGTAATTAAATTTAGTACTCACTCTTATTTTATTAATTACTACTTCAGCGCTCAAACCCTGAATAAGGTCAATTATGCAAAGCTTGGCATTAAATACTTTGAAATACTTCTCAGTGAATATGTATATTGCTTGTAAGCCTGACTTGAAGCGGCACACCGTTATTTATCCATACAATATTCTTAGCACACCATAAACATAATTTACTTAAAGGACTAACATTCAATACAGAATCAAAGATTCAAACAAAATATACGTAAAAATAGTGCAGGGAGTTATTTAAATTTACATGATAGGATTCGATACGTAAATTATGTACAAAGGGTACCATAGTAGGACACGTTACATCAATTATGTACAAAGGGTACCATGACAGGACACGCTACATCAATTATGCACAAAGGGTACCATGACAGGACACGATACATCAATTATGTACATAGGTATAATGATAGGACACTATGCAGCAATTGACAAGTTAATTAACAGTCCGTACCTAGAGTGGCATGAGAAGTTGAACAGACTTGCTTGATGGGAACACGATTAAAGCTATAATTAATGCACGTATTTTACCGTGCTTCATCATTCATGAAATAACTAATATTCTTGATTTTTTATTCTTGTTAATAAATAACAAACTAATTAGCGACAAACACTGCAGCCTAAAGCTGAATTGCATTTAATGCTATTTGTTGACACAAAAGTTTGCTCCCTGTCAAACTGAGATAGAAGGATGCTGATGCTCTGATGATGAGAACTCGAACACCTGGACGACGTGTGTATATTAGTGACTTGTACGAAATGTTTTATTATGATCAGTTAGAGAACTGACTCGGCCATGAACAGAGCAATCGGGTTAATCTTTGTTTTCGCAGGAATTGGGTTCGCTCAACAACCTGGCACAATAGTGCAGGAGTTTCACCCACCGCTGCCTATACATCAATTATGTACAAAGGGTACCATGACAGGACACGATACATCAATTATGTACAAAGGGTATGATGATAGGACACTATGCAGCAATTATGTACAAAGGGTATCATGATAGGACACCATGCAGCAATTGACAAGTCAATTAACAGTTCGCACCTAGAGTAACATGAGAAGTTGAACAGACTTACTTGATGGGAACGCGAATAAAGCTAATTAATGCACTATTTTACCGTGCTTCATCATTCATGAAAAACTAATATTCTTGATTTTTGTTATTAATATTAATATATTTTGTTATTATTATTAATATTAATAAATAACAAACCAATTAGCAACAAACATTGCAGCCAAAAACTGTATTGCATTTCATGCTACTTGTGTTACTTGTTGACATAAAAGTTTTCTCCGTTGTCATACTCAGATAGAAGAACGCTGGTGCTCGGATGGTGAGAACTCGAACACCTGGACGATATGTATAGATTAGTGACTTAATGTACGTAATTTTTTTATTATGATCAGTTATAGAGCTGACTCAGCCATGTACGGAGCAATGAGAACTGACTCGGCCATGATCAGAGCAATCGGGTTAATCTATGTTTTCGCAGGAATTGGGTTTGCTCAACAACCTGGCACAATAGTGCAGGAGTTTCACCCACCGCTGCCTATACAGGTGGGTCATAGTGCCTATACCCAGTTGCTTCTAAAACCAGCCAGTGAACACTAAAATCTGGTAACGTTTGTCCACTTTTTTTCTTTTTGCATGCGAAATTTTATTTTTAGTCTCAAACGTATACGTAAGAATAAATAACTCGAAACCAATTATGCGCCATTTATGCTTAACTATACTTTCTTGAAGGTGTGCGATGCCGCTGGATGCCAAACGGAAGCGACTTCGTTCGTGATGGACGCGTCTCGTCGATGGTTGTACTCCGTCGCTGACAACGGTCAAACATCCTGTCTCACTGGCGATGGTTACGATCCCATCCTCTGCCCCGATGGGCTTACTTGCGCTCAGAATTGTGCGGTTGCCGGTGTTACTCAAGAACAATACGACGTAACTTACGGCACTACAACTGACGGAAATTCCATTACGTTTCGTTTCGCTACAGAATCTACGGTTGGTGAAAATGGCTACCTTTTGGCTACGGAAGACAAGTATAAAATGTTTAGGATGAAAAACCGTGAATTCACCTTTGATGTGGACACGTCCCTCCTACCTTGCGGAATGAACGGGGGTGTATTCTTCGCCGAAATGGAAGAGGATGGGGGCATGGCTTCTTTTCCAAGTAACAAAGCAGGAGCTAAATACGGAATAGGAACTTGCGATGGTCAATGCAAACACGACCTGTCTTACTACGCTGGCAAAGTTAATGTGGAACGATACACTGAAGAAGGTGTCTGCTGCTTCGAATTTGACCTTTGGGAAGCCAACTCGTGGGTATCTTTGGAAATCCGTGGAAATTAAAGTTAAAATTTTTGACCAATTCACACTTTTATATCCGTTTAATAACTTCTATTGGAATGACTATTACGTATAACTGTTTCATTTGCAGGTGGGCGAATGCTTACACAACACATGGCTGCACAATCGATGGCTACTACCTCTGCACCGGTACAGAATGCGGCGATGGGGGTGACAGGTACAGCGGAGTGTGCGACAAGGACGGGTGTGGCTACAACAATTTTAAGCTGAACCAACACTTCTTCTACGGCGCAAACGACAGCTATGTCATCGACACGAGGCGACCATTTACGGTGGTAACTCAATTTGTTACCGCCGATGGCAGCGACACTGGAGACCTGATTGACATTAGGCGCATCTACGTGCAGGACGAAGTTGTTATTGAGAACTCGTATGTCAACTATCCAGGCTTGGAAAGTCATAACTCCATTAGCGACGGATTCTGTGCTGACTTTACATCATATATTGGCGCAGGGAATTATGCCGCTACCGTGGGTGGACTCAAGACCATAGGCGAGGCCCTAGACAGAGGAGTTGTACTCGTTTTCGCCCTCTGGGCAGATTACGGTTCTTATATGTTGTGGTTGGACGGACTGTTCCCTCCTGATGCTGATCCTTCGTCTCCCGGCGCCTTGAACGGTCCCTGCCCTGCAGATAGCGGCAGACCTGATGACATAATAGCCAACTATCCTGATACCGCAATGACCATCTCGAACATTAAGTATGGCACGCTCGGCTCCACTTATTCTGGGTAATTCAACTGTATATCAATAATTATTAAATCATTTCGTAGCCCACCATGCACCTAACGTAAAATAACATTTATTTAACGTTGTTTGAACTAAATAAACTATCGTAGTAATCAACGTTGTATCAAGTCGCTTGCATGACGGGCGGTAAATTTGGAAATATATTAAGCCTAATTTGGCGTGCAAACATTTACTAGTTTGATCAATTCCACGAGCGAGAAGTTATTGAGAATTTTACTCCATTGTTTTTAGGTAATGTAACATTTTCAAGAGCCTTCATGCTGTCATCTATTTCTTTTATTCGACAAAAAAAATAGAAACGACGTTTGCACTTTCTTACCCCAACTTTAAAATACAAAAATCTGGAAAAAGTTCGAGGCCAACAAAATAATGCCGACTTGTTGTTATCAACCTATTGCTGAGGTCAAGATCGACTTATCGGAAGGTTGGCGGTATTTTGGTAAAAATTTGAAACAGTTTAAAAGATCTACGAAAGCATTTATAATGTCTCCTCGCATTCGACAAAAAGAATATTTTATAAAAACATTATAATATTAAAAAAAGTTGAAGTTCGGCTAACAGAAACACGTGAGACATCATGAGGAGCAACAATTAAGGCGTGCAGCGTCAACCCGCATTATGACCATCCACTTGGCCAAGCAGGCAGCTCATCCACACATTGAGGTTGGTCACATAGCGCTCATCACCTCGCATTATGACCATCCACTTAGCCAAGCAGGCAGCTCATCCACACCTGTCTCTTATACACATCTAGATGTGTATAAGAGACAGGGCNCCAAGCAGGCAGCTCATCCACACATTGAGGTTGGTCACATTTGTATGCGCTGGAGCGCGGCTCTGAGGCTGCGAGCATCAGGGCAATTTACTGAGGATCCAAATCCCAGACCAAGATTTGTAGCTCGGACTCGGCAAGATATGCCTCAGGAATTCCTTCCACTTCTTGCAGTCCACGAATTTCGCGCGTTCAAATTTTGTTTAGATACGAAACAATTCCTTTATATTTGCTCATTTAGCTTGCCGATTTCAATTAATCTATTTATGACGTTGTCAAAACCTAATCATAATTATTCGCAATTAGTTCTTGACATAAAGAACTGGAACACAGCCAAGTTTGTGATGATTAAGAACACGAATTAATGTTCTAAAAAGAGTTTCTCTACGACTGAGCTGAACTATCTCGTATTTTTCTTTAAAAGTGAACTTCAATAATGTATTTCCTTGAAGGAATGAAAAATATCTCGCTCTAGTTCTTGAGTTCAGGTCTACCTCATAATCTTGCTTCACTAATGACGTCGTTTGTTATACTCACAAGAACCTCTTGCTTATTATCGTTACTGTTTGCAGAAAATCATTATTTGCTTCCCTAACGAAGCCTAAATGGCCTCATTAGGTATATATTTGCTGATCCCTCTGCAACTTCCGTCGAAAGTAAAGCAGAAGTATAATGCCTGAAGCCGTTAATAGGTAGAATTGAGCTCTATTACCTCTGAGCTCCTTATTTTACTTAAATAAATTATTTTTTTATTCATTGGTGTAATTGTTACATTTCATTTTTAGAGAGATGCAAGAAAGGCCAATGAATGGCTTTGGATAACAAAGATCGATTATAACGTTTTCGCTACAACGTTTCTGGCCGAACATCGCATTGCTTTCGATCTTTATCGGTCCACTCCTTATCACTTTGATTTATTCATTTCTTTCATTTGTTTGACTTCCTCTGCTACATTTCAGACGCATAAGCGATGCTTCCCTTGACAGTTTTACCTCGAACTTTTTCTGGAGTCTCCCCGAAATGTCGCTTGTCATCATTTGCAGCGCTGCTGTCCTTGCAACAACTTTGCTCTGCCTGTTTTTAGCCTGGAAATTCTTAGAAAATGAAGTTGCAATTCAATCAATCTTGATGCTGCTTGTTAAGAAACAGAAATGGTCGCTGAAAATCCATTCAACACAAGACGAAGTTGGAAGTCCTACTGAGAGACTAACACTATCAGACGAAAAAATTCATTCAACACGAGGCGAAGTTGAAGGTGCGTTATACTTACACTATCATACGAAAAAATACCAAGTGGGCAAGAGAAACTTGATTTGCTCAATTTTCCTTTTCTCAAGTTTCAGTGATTTACAGCAGCTATGCATTAAAATTGTTGTTATTTTATACACGAAACAGAAGTGCAGTTATAAATTAAAACTTTATAATCAATAGTTTGCTACTCAATCAGAGATACGAAAAATTTTTATCTGTAGCTAAATGAGAATTTCGAAATTTTAGTCATGCTTGAAATCCGTACCGATTGCGACACAAACTTTATATTTTATAATATGTTATACTACTTCAAAACTCCAACCGAAACTATGATTATCTACTAGTAATAAAATTAAGGTCATTAAAAATATTAAGAGGTGTTTCTAGCGATTTTGTTTTATCCATTGCATGAAGAACTTCCAGAACTTCTAACATTTTTCCTCTTTGATTTGATAATGAATTTAATTTTAGATTTTCAAAACACCGATAAATTGTCCGTTACCTAAATTTTTCAGTGTCCGATTTTATTAGATTTAGTTTGGTTTAGTCCGGTTAATGAGACTCGGTTAGATTTGTTTAGGTTAGGTTAGGCTGGTCAGTTTAGCTTGTTAGGTTCTGCCAATTTACTGTAGATCACGTCTTGATTTCGAACAAAACCATTGATTTCCTTTTAATTAAAGTTTTATAGCGGTACTGGCAGTGTTTGTATAAGTACCTACTCGATTTTCGTCTCGAAAGCACTGTAATGAAATATTATCCCAGCTAACAATTAAAGCTGTCCTTGTCCTTATTAGATTATTATAGTCTAGTCAAAGCTAACCTTATCCTGATTAATGCTTTCCCTCTGAATGCGTGCCTTCTTTATAGTGCGTGTGTGTGGTGGTAATTATAATTTAGGTCTACCATTGAACAACTCAATGTTCGCCAATTTCTCCTAATCAAACAATGTAATTTAAAGGAAAAGTTACGTATTTTCAATACCTATATGAAAACGCAAATCTTCTAAAACACATCCGCTGAGTCGATGGTCGTATATTCGCCTAAAATGAGACCCAAGTTCGGATCCATTAGGCATTGCAATAATTTTATGTCACTTTTGCCATGCAATCTTCGTGCAATGATGCGCGCGGCAATCTTTTGCTCTCCATTGCCTCGAGAGAGAAACATGGCCGCTTGCTCTGCTCACCAAAGATGCTCGTATTTGTCTGGCATGAGAAGGATCTGCCACAACGACCACCAATGTTTGCTCGCGCAATATTCTGCCCCCAAAACATGCTAATAAACCTAATAGATGCGGCGCACGGCCGGGCTTTGATCTCAACGAACGTTTGCTCGAACGCGTCGATTCCGGGAAACGAGATTTACGGTCCCGACATTTGTGAATTGTTATTGGGAACATTTGATAGCATTTGATTTTGTCAAGGACGCTGCACTTATTTGATAATGACTTCGATGGAAGAACAATGGATTTAATTGTGATATTTACGCGGTAGTTTGCTTTTGTAAGTAAAAAAGTATTAATAAAATGCACACGTTCGCGGTCTCAATGGATTACATTTTTATGACAATTGCATTGAATTTCATGTGACTTATCCATGTTATTTCGCGTAAGTGTTTATTCGTCTTGGACATCATCGTTCCTGACAAACAAGACCGTAGAGTAATTTTCCCCCAGTTTATGGTGCTCCTTCTCAGGCGATGTTGCGTGTAGACGTACAGCAAGTAGCGGATTTAATTAAAGGTCCCGAATAGAATAAAGAAAAGAGTAAAAATTATTGCAAAATTATTGAATAATAAAATGCCTGTGTAGAATCTTATGGCATTTTTTCCATGGTTAGAATATGTTAGGTTTCGTGTTTGCTCCCTCAATAAGGGCTGGGTAAATTACCATAACTTCGACTGCAGTGAAACCGTAAGTTGTTTGATTAACTAGATTCAAATTATCGGACTAGCCTACTTTCATGCTATGCATCTTATGATTATTAAATAATTTTTATTTAAAAAGATTTCACAGGTTACTTATTTGTTATACCTGAAAAGTCATGCCAGCAAAGCTGCAAGTTTAGTCCGTCATAACTTACAAGCTCCATATTTTTAGACTTAACCACCATAAAACCATGGAAATGTTTGATTTATATCAATTATATATATCGTTTCCATGCATCATTTTTCCATTGGACTTGTAATTATCGTAGGAATAAATTAATTCAATTCGAGACATATTGGACGTTGATTTTTTCGTGCCCTGCTGCTGTGGTCGATGATGTAAGTTATTCGTCTTACTTATTTATAAATTAGTCCATTTTAACTTAGCGTGTTCTAAATAATTATCCTGCGCACATAATCGTCCAGTTCTAAGAGTCCTGGAATTATATAAAAAATGGAGCGACAAAGACCAATTATCCCATCGACGTGATTGAGGCTAAATTGCTTCTTGAACTATTAATAGCGTTGGAGAAAAATGCTTTTTATATGTAAACTTGGCCTAGAATTGATCTTAGGCTATAATGTCGAAAAATTTCAAGTCTCTTAATGAATTGACGCAGGAAACATTCGTGTACCAAGCCATGCAAGGTTGCTTAATAAATCGTGAGATTGTTGTGCTTGTCCTGTTATGAATTCTGGTGAGCTTGAAATTTAATTTAAATTCTATCTTGATAATATTGGTTCTTATTGACCTCCAAGCCTAATGATAAAAATGTTCCATAACTGATACCAAGGATCCCTACATGTATCACTGGAAATCTGTGTATAATGGATAGGTGTTGGAACTGTGAAGCCCATTCGTTAGCACATCCAAAAATTAAATGAGATGCAATTTCTGGTCAGTAGGCCACCACGTGTCCTATAATTAAGGTCGCTAAGGGCGCTAATGCCGTTACAGGTATTTAGGCCGCTACGTGCACTCAGGACGCTACATGTACTTCGTCAGTTGCGATATTACGGCCCCTGATCATAGCCATTTAGTTTATTAGTCGGTCCTAACATTCTCAGCTCAAAAGCAGCGTACGAGGTTTCACAGATACGGAATCACGATGCGAGTGCCCCACAACACATCATGCATAGTCCGGAGCTCGCGTGTAATGTCCAATTTCTTGCTCATTGCTTAATAATAATGATAATAATAATAATAATAATAATAATAGCGGTTTCAGCGTTCATTAGGCCGTAGGCCTGTCGCCGATTCTTAACATCGCAGAACATTCACAGCATTTTGAGGTCTCGAACACGCAACGCACTGC